CGAAACCAGCTTCCCCAAGACCACACAGCGAGGGAACAACCGAGCTGCGTTTAAATCCCCATCCGCTGACTTCAAAGCTCCAGGTCTTTCCCTCTGGCCGCTCTGTCGACACCAGAAATCTCTGGAATCATCTAGTCTTGTTTTATAGATGAGGAGACCAAGACTTTGAGAAGGGAAGTTGAGTGCCGTGGTCACACAGCTTGTTGGTGACAGAATTGAGTCTCCAAAATCTGTCCAAAGCTGATCACTTGGGAGCAAATGATAACAGAACAGTCTCCAGGCAGCGTGATGTGGGATCCCCAGGAGCGAAGGCCGCCTCAGAGCAGCCCTTTGCTTCCAGGCACTCGGAGGCTTTTCCACTGTGTTCTGAGCGCTCCTGAGGCCCCTGCCTCCCCCGCCTGCACGCATGCCAGGCTATTTGTACAAGAACAGCACGTTCCCATGAACTCCAGAAAGGAGAAAGCACTGCCAAGTCACCGCAAGCAGGCATTCCAAGCTGGCCTGGGGACCTGTCAGTCAGTGATCAATTTGCCCATCCTCGTCACCGGAGCCTCTCAGGGATTAGCCAGCCCTGGACAGGTGGATCTGGTTTCCAAGCGAGGATCTGTGGGGACTCCTCAGGGTCTTGCTGGAGGGTTGGCCCTGGGAGGGGGAAGCTACTGTTCAGCCTCAAAGCCCCAACAAAGCCTTCCCCCAGCTGGAGAGGGCACCAGACAGTCCGACACCCTAGCTGAACCAATTTGGCACACCCTCGAGCAGCTGACGTTGCTCCCCATTTTCCACGGTACGTCCTGAGACACTGTGGGCCTCCTCTGCCTTCCTGGATGGCAGGGTGGGCAATGGTGCCAATGGGTTTGCTGTCTTTCCTAAACATTCAGGAAGAAAAGAATCTTACTATGGCTATATCTTGCATTTATAGCCCATTTTTTCCCCAAAGTGCTTTCATATCCATGATCTTCCATTGATGCTCTGCTTACAAAAACACTGCAAGTATATTTGAGAAAGGATTTGGCCAATGTGGCAGGAAAGACCTAAAGGAGAAATGAGTGCTTGTGGGTCACGACATTAATTGTCCAAGTGGGCACAGAGTCTGCCTTTTCCGGCTGCTGCTCCGGACCTCTTCCTGAGGACGGCTTCCTCATTTCAAGCTATCCTTGTTATCTGTATGACTACGTAAATACCTTGGTTAAGACTCTGCTGTGGCTCCCATCACCTACAGGATTGAGTCCGAAATCCTTACCAAGGCATATGAGCCTTTGTGACCTGACCCCCACCTCCAATTCCCTGAACACGATAGGAAACTGAGTGCCTCTGTACTTGTGCATAAGCTGGTCCTTCTTTTTGCCATACATTTCCTTCTCCAATTTGCCTGGAGAACTCCTATTCGTCCTTCAAATCCCTACACAGGTGTTAGCACCTCTCTGCACATCCCTGAACCGTGCTTCCTCCAGATCACTTCAGAACTTTGTGCATCTGTAAGTTCAAAGCCCACATACATAGAGCTTTCTCTCTTATTCATGAGGCTCTAAGACTATTCTTCTGGTAACATTTGGAACCCAAAGCATGGCACTGTGCCTGAACACATAACACACACTGAATAACAGCTTGCATCCTTGGCCTGTAGAGAGGATTCCATTGGCACATATCTACTGAGGAGTTTGGGCCCAAGGATTGGGGAAGGAAAAGGCTCTATCACACATCTCTATTTAGGGTCCAAGAGGCTTAACATGGCCTCCTAGAAGGGATGACAGACTAGGACAGGCCGCTACTGGCAACTTGGAGTGTTTCTCTGAGACACTCATTCCTGAGCTCTGAAATTGCAATTGGCATCCCTGTGGCCATGAAGGTGAGGTGCAGACTAGGTCCTGGTTGCAGAGTCAGGTGCCTGAGCCCATTCCCCAGCTGGGTCTGTCTGAGGCCACACTCAGCGCTTTGTTGCTCTAGGCACACACGTAAAACACAGCAATGATAGGAGATGACCAGCCTTCATGACGGTAACTTCCACACTGCCCTGCTTCATCCCGACCCTGGAATCACTGCCCATTTTCTAGATTCCTTCAGTTCTGTCCCTGACTTGTTCCACCCATTGATATCCATTCCAAGCTTCTACCCCTGGTTTCCATTCTTGTCTTTCTTCCAAACCCATCTGTCTCCAGGCCACTGAATTGCAGACAATTTCCGATCTTCTTTAAAGGCACAGCCCCAGGATAGGCCTTTCCCAGCAGTCCAGCCCAGCCTCGTGCAGCCTCTGCATTTCCTCGGCATTTCCAGGGAAACTTGTACTGGGCATCATTCGATGTGGCAAAGGGCTTGGAGACCATGCCCTAACTCTCTCCATCGAGGGACTCCATTGCTGCTCCACACAGCCCTGGAGACTAAACCCCAGCTCTGCCTCCCTCAGGCTCTTTTGGCTGTAGTCCACCAAGATCTGGGGATTAGGAAAGAAAAACATCCCATTTGGGGTCTGGGGGTCTCGAATGTTTCCTGCTGCCCAGGGAAGATTTCCAGCCTGGGCGAAGGTCCACCAAGCTTGAGAAATTTGTCTGAATCCATCAAAGTCATATTGGGACACAGAACTCAAAAGCCTTGTTCCCAGTGGGAAGTCTCCACTCTGCCAAGACACCAGCGTGTTCTGCCACCAGCAATCACTGTGGACAGGAATAGAAGAACCGTGTAAGATGAAAAAGATTTTAAATGGTTCAGCCATCCAAAATCGTCTGTGGTCATGAGATGGGTGTCAGAGGCAGAGAAGGACACCCACCTCTCTGAAATTCACCTGCCTACCCCTACCCCTACCCCGGTTCTAGGATTCTTGTTATCTGTCACTGATCCATGCTGTGCCTGGGCTATTCATTTCTAAAATTAACCCCTTTGTGCCCTTGGCCGACCTACAGGTGGAGCCACTAAGCAGTAGCAGGGCATCAGAGATACAAAAGGAAGAGAACTGTTTACATTCACCATGTATTGCTTCTGAGCTCCTGGGGGAAATATTCCCGGGTGTTGGAGGATTAACTTGAGTCATTTTCAATGGGTTAAAATACTGTTATTGAGAGGAATCTCATTCACTGATGAAATATGGGCACCAAGGGCATGCATATTACAGAAGTGGTACGATTACCCCCTGGAGAATAATGGACCATATCGAAGACACTGTTGACCTGCCCTGTGGCCCAGTTGAGGCCGGGCGCTGGGAGTGAGGGTGCAGGATGGGGAAGGGTAAAGACGAGAAGTGGAATACGAGGCCCACTTAAGGAACTCCCACTTAGAGTCTATTTGGAGAGACAAACAGGAACATATGAAAAAGCCAACAAGTGCAATGGAAACAGGCTTTTGGAAGTTTGACTGTTGGCTCCCCCAGGAAGCCCAGTAATAAGGGCTCCTGGGAGGGTTGAGCCCTGAAGGTTCGACAGGATCCTGCTGAGTAGGGAAGAAAGGGAGGCCCTAGCACAAGCTGTGGGATCCAGCTGAGACAGGTGAGGCTGCCGGGGCAGGTGAGTGGGCCCTCAGTGTGGTTTTAGGCCCAGCTATTCTCGTCTCCCCAACTGGCCGTGCCAAGGTGTTTGCCATGGGCACTGTTCTCCTATGGCTAGGCTAACCCCTGCACTTTACTTCTTCCTTTTATTTATATGTTTTGGTTGAATTAATCAATGAATGGGTGAAGGAGCAGAATCTTATGGGTGGTTAAGAATTAGGTAGAAATAGGAGAAAAGACGTCCCTGGCAGAGGAGAAGTCCACGCAATAGTCCAGAGGCTGTGAACATCAGGCCTGCCTAGGAGACATTTGTCAGTGTGGCGGGAAAGCTCCAGGTGAGAACTAGGAGGGTCAGGGCTGGGGGGCTGGGCAGGGGCCCATCCTGGAAAGCCTTAAAGATTTTGTTATATAATTTAGCCAAGTCCAGGAGATATAGAAATATTTACTTGCTTTGCTCTAGTTTATAATCTGTCTTTCTCAATCCCAGCAAGGAGGTGGGGTTTCCACATTGGTTTTGGAGTCCTATAGCGGAGGAGGGAGCAGATAGGGATCTGCGATGAGAGCATGGGTCTCAAGCAGCCCTAAAGCTTTAGGACTCCAAAAGAAGTGTTCAGAAGGAGAGACCAGCAAGTTGAGAACTGGGCTTTCCTCTCCTCTCTCGCCCAGTGTGACTCAGACTGGGGCTTGCTGGCCAGGCCTGCAGCCCCTGGCTCCTTCTTTGCCATCTTTCTCCACAGGAGGTCGGACAATGTGCCTGGGCCCCGAGCATCCCTTTAACCACGGCGGCTCTTGGCTGGGCGCCACCCCAATGCTGCCCTGCAGTTCTCCCGGCAGGGATGAGACCTGTTTGGGCCCCAGCTCAGGCTCGTGGATTTGCTGTCGAGTTTGGCACTGATTTGCAATCTGCAAGTTGATGGATGCTTAGGCTGCTGGCAGCCGGGTGAGTGAAAAGTGACTCTAAGATAAGAGAACCCCTCGCCAATATTTACAACTGAGCTCTGAGAGTCCAGACAGCCTTCTGAGGCCTCAGCCACGTCTGGAGGGGAGGATTCAGCAGTGGGTGGGTGGCCCAGGGTCCTGGGATGAGGGATGGTATCCAAGACGAAGCAGGAAAGCACTTTAGGCTGGCAGTCTGGAGCCCTGCGTTCTCCTCCTGTTCCCACCTGAACTAGTGGCATGACTTTGAGCAAATTATTTCCTCTCGCTGAGCCCTTTTTGCCTTAGAGAAAATAATTTCAGCCTTGCTCTCAGCTGTGAGTATCATAAAGCTCAAATGAGATGACATCTTTGAAAGGACAAAGGAAGCTCCAGGGAAATGCGCTGCAGAGGGAGGATCACGGAAGGACAGGGATGGGGACCTCCGATGAGCTCACCTGACAGTCGCCCACGTGGCTCTGGGGGTGCTTATGAGGATTTCAGGAATTACGTATTTTAATAATTACATAGTTGTTCATTGAATTCATTCAAAAATGTTAAAATTTAATCATTAATATTGAATGATTACATATATTGAGATATGCATGAAATAAACTCTGTGATTTTGTGGCCCTTATTGTATAGATGTGGCTAAAGTACAAATGTGAATGAAAGTATTTCAAATGCTGATGTGGCAAATGTGATGCAGGTGCTCGCGAACGCCCGGAGCGTAGGAAACACAGGTGGGCGCAGAGCTCGGCCCTGACATCACCATTTCATTCCGTCTTCTGTCTTATGATGGAAGTGCTGCTGCCCCCATTCCTCGGCCACGTGGCTGTCTGCCCTTGCTGGCTCCATAGTGACGTGAGCAGACAGGTTTGGAGAAGAAAGTCCCTCAGCAGGGTCTCCCATCCCTCCCCCCAAACCCCAGTGTGTGTTCTTCCCACGACACCATGACCATTTCCTTCCTCGTAGGCATCTGCCCAGGGCACTTTCATGGATGCTGGCGGGTGTTTCCTTATGTGATCTTCACCTCAACCCTGCTGTTATAATGACATTACAGATGTGGGAGTTTCTGAAAAAGGAAAGAAGGGAAGGAGGGAGAAAGATGAGTCACATAGGCAGAGAGTGGCACACCTAGACCTCCGAGGCGGATGGAGTGACTCTGAAGTCATTCTCCATTAATCAGTTTTGGGTCTTTGGAGCTTTATTCACGCTGCTGGGTCTCCCTTCTGGGAAAGAGGAGAGGATATTGAAGTTAAGAGAAGCGACACTTTTACGTTGTCCTTTCTGGAAAAACAAATAAACAAAATCCTTCGAAATAAAGTCAAGGTCTGGGGGAATTACTGAAAGTGGGAGATAGATTTTAAACTGGACATCTCCCCATTTTGGTAGAACCCAAGCAGAAGGGAGCAGGGTATAGTGAAAGGCAATGGGTCAGTGCAGAGAGCTGAGGACCAGAGGAGCGCAGCGCTGGGTCCCCTCCTGGGTCTGAGGACAGCTCCCTGCAGAACCAGGGCAATTACATGCATCCTGGGCCTGGTTATTCACATCCTTAGAATGGGTTTACTAATCTTACCAAAAAGAGATAAGAAATGCGATTCTTTCATTAAAAACGTCTATATTCCCAGTTTTCTTCATAGCTCTCATCGCAACCCGACATCTTCTGTAGTTGGTCTTCTATAGCTCTTTCCAGAACGCGAGCAGCCTGAGAGCAGGAACTTTGCTCACCTGCAGCCTCGGCACTGGGATCAACGGCGTTCATGAGAGATACCCTGCAAACCTTTGCTGGATGTGGGAATGAAGCCTGAATGAAGGAATGCTCGCACTGTAAGCTTTGTTAGGAAGGGATTACATCTCTTGGTCACTTCTGTATCCCGGCACCCAGCACAGAGCCTCTACATAATAAGCGCTTAACAAATGTCCATTAAACAAATGAGTGCAAGAATGGGAAAGCATTTTGTAAACAGCAAGGGGCCACAGACGCTAAAATCTAGGATATATGACTATAAGAGCAAGAGCTCACCCAACAGCAACCCCAAAAGGAAAACTGAAATTAGAGCCACACACTCAATCCACTTTGCTCCAACTTCTGACTTTAGTCAACCAACCGGTTATCTGGAAAATGACCAGCATGTAATTAATCTCTTGGCAATAGTCACTTCTAAGGACGAATTCAGCCGATTGCTTCCGCGTTAACGTGCCTGTGGAGACACAGACAGACGCCAAGCTGAAGGTGGAATAACAAAAGTATGCCCAGTGCCCAAGGTCTGGCAGAGAGTGGACCAAGCAAGGGCCCATTAGACCTTGAGAATGATCTCTGTGCTAATAATCTAAGCTACCATTAGTGACTCAAGGCAGAGAATTTTTTTAAATACTAGGATGCGTATGATTTTTATCTTGACGTTATCCCTATAATCATTGGTCCTGATTAAAGACTTCTGCCCTAAAAGATGGATGGGCTCAAACACTTAAATATATGGTAATCTTTCACCTCTTAAATGCTGTTTCTCCCAAGACATTCTTCCATGCACTTCAATTTAAAGACCAGCAATTGCCTTTCTTTAATTTTTTTGTCTTTCTTCGACTATTTGAAAAACACTAGAGTCAGATTGGAAGGGGATGGTAAAAAATAATAATAATTCTAACAAACTCCATTCTTCCTGACTAAGGAAGTTAACTAAGAAGTTAAGAGGCCTGTTACAGTTTTTTGCAATCAAGAGTCAAATATTTGAAAAAATGCCAAAACATGTTAGTGCTTGTTTCTCCATAAATACGCAAGGCAAGATAGTCATCAAAAAGAAAATGTTGGGGTATCATTCATTTTACTCCTGTCACATCCGGCTAAGGCCAAATGGGCTGGGATTCCCAGGGCACTCCTGCGACATCTGATTCCCCACGTTCCCCTTCCCGTCCTGACTCAGTTGTCACCTCACTCAGCTGACAGTCCTCACTGGTCTGAGATACGATCAAATCCCTCTGGGACGGTTGTCACCTCAGGCTCCTGTTTAAGATTGCAGCACCGGGGCTGTGCATATCCAGAGAGCAAGGTGAGTTCTTTGTGATGGGTGGGGGTTGGGATTTTTCTTCTAGTAGCAGACCTTGAACTTCAGCCACAGTCACCCTATCAGCACCATCTTAAAGAGCTGCAGTCAACAGTGAACATCTCTGTGTAAATCTAGTTGCTCCTCTTTCAAGTTTGCCCAAAGCAAAACACCTCTTACTTCAAGAAGCTTGACGTTCAAGGCCCCCCACAGTCCAACTTCAGGCTAGATTTTCAGGCTCATGGCTGGCATTTCTCCAAGTGGATTCCACCTGCTAAACACGCGCAGTCACTCACCCTTTCCAAATGCCTTGTACGGTCTCCTCCCTCGGTGTCCTCGCTCCTGCTGTCCCTGCTCCCTACAATGGCCTTCCTCCCTCTCTCTATCTGTCAGGACCCTCCTTGTTCACGGAAGCCCTGTTCAAAGGAGATGGTCTGTCCCCAGTGCTCCCTGGCATGCCCAGTCATGAGAAATCGGGCCATCTTCCCTCTGTCCATCGCCTGCTGCTGCACTGAGCTCATGGGGCCCCTGCAAGAAGCACCTGGCCTCGTGTCCGTCTGTTCGCCCAGGCTGTGAGCTGCAAGAGGCCAAGGACAGTGTTTTCGTTTCTGATATTCCAGCACCAGGCACAGGGCCTGGCACATGGCAGGGTTAGCGTTTGCTGATTGAATCTGCGTTCTGCTCTTACTCCTAATTCTGCCTGTTAGAGTCTCAGCGGGGAGGCCTCTACTTTCTCTTTCACCCAAAAAGCCTCATGACCTTCCTTTCCAAACTCAACTCTCCTAGTTCCTCCCACCCCTCTTGCCACATCATTTCCAGTTGTGTAGGGGAGCCAGACAGGCCTGGATTCAAATCCTCACTTCCTAGGCACTCATTAGTCACAGAGCTTTAATAAGAACTTAGCTGGTCTGTGCTGGAGCTTCCTTAGCTGTGAAATGACTCCAGAACCTCAGAGGGACTCCTAGACGACAGCGGGGATGAGGAGAGGTAAGACGCCGAATGGAGGGCCGCGGAGGCTCCTAGCACACATGAGCCTCCGTCCCTTCCCTATTATGCTCACACCTGGGGGACTCCTGGAGGCCAATGGCCTCCCGAAGGGGCTGGCACTCCCCACATGGCCCGGGAATTGGTAGGACAGTTGCACTTTCTTCTCCAGCAGCGGCTGCATTTCACCCTTAGCAAGTTCCTACTGGCTCAACCAGAACTTGAGTGTTTAATCAAATGATGCCCATAAAGGGTTGACAGAGAGCTCGCCAGTGCTCAGCTGCTATTAGATGTTAGCGCTAGAGGATGGCTTCTGAGTCAAGGCACTGACAGTTTGAATGAAATGCTCATGTGAGGGGGCAATACATATCTTGTAGATACCCCACACTCAGCATGCCAGAGTGGCGACAGCCGCACACTCAAGAGAGTGGTAGATATGGGTTCAAATCCAGACACTGTAAGTGATGAGCTGTATGGCCTCAACAATGTTACTTAGCCTCTCTGAACCTTGATATGAGAAGAGCCCCTGCCTCATTTGACTATTATAAGGATTGACACAAAGCAATTAGTATAGTACTTGACAGATAGTAGGCACTCCACAGATGGGGGATACCAAATAAGGTTGTGACGAGATCTGTATGAGATGAAGTCTGCAAGAGGAGTGCTTAGAAGATGTGACAAGTCCAGTCATTGCCTCTTCCTGTGTTTGACATTCCAGTGATGGCATCACCCTCACAGAGTGCCCAGGCCAGATACCTGGACCATTCCCGACTTGTTTCTCTCCCCCTCCGCCCATCTCCCCTGTCCCCTCTGGCAACGTCTTCAAGTCCTATTGATTCTACCTCCCTAAGATCTGTCTAGCCTACCTTCTGCCCTCAAGCCCACTGCCCCACTGCCACCACCTTTGTTCAAAGCCAGACAACTTTCCACTGGGAGATTATGCAGGGCCAATGAACACCTTATCCTCTCTGAGTCAACACAAGCTCCCCTGTCTCCTTGCAGCCTCCTGGAGCCTGTCAAATGCTCCCACATCTCCTTGTCCTTCCCCTTCAGAGGCATTATCGTAACTTGTACTCCTCTATTTATTTCTGGTGCCATATTTGTCTTCCCCACAAGACTGGAAGATTTAAGAGTCAGAGACTCTGTTTTGCTCATCGTTGTTCACCCCCAGTGCCTACACAGTGCCTGTCTTATGGTAGGTACGAAATAAAGATTGTTGCGTGGGCGAATGAGTGAAATAATGAATGAGCACTGGACAAGCCGTCAGTGCCCTCCCACCTTGTGGACCAGAGTGATATTTTTATGTATTTATTTTTTTAAAGATTGGCACCTGAGCTAACATCTGTTGCCAGTCCTCTTTTTTTCTTCTCCTTCTTCTTCTCCCCAAAACCCCCCAGTACATAGTTGTGTATTCTAGTTGCAAGTGTCTCTGGTTGTGCTATGGGGCACGCTGCCTCAGCATGGCATGATGAGCGGTGCCATGTCCGCATCCAAGATCCAAACCAGTGAAACCCTGGGCTGCTGAAGTGGAGCATGCAAACTTAACCACTGGGGCCCCTGGCCAGCCCCCAGAGTGATCTTTTTAAAAACAAATCTGATCATGTCGCTCTCCTGTTAAAACCCTTCTGCGAATTCCCACAGTGATCAGGATGAATTCCAAATTGCTTAATCCATCTCGGGATGCATGCTGCCTTCCCAGGACCATCCTTTGCCCCTGGCCCTCTCTTGAGTTTATACACCACACCAAACCACTTAGCCCCCACATCACCTTTGCACATGGAGCTCCCTCCCCCAGTCACTCTGCATTCTACCCTCCAGGCCAGCCCCACTTTAGCTGACTAACTCCTACTCATCCTTCAAGATCCTCCTGGGCACCCCTCCTCCAGGGAGCCTTCCCTGCCCACGCTGACCAGGTTAGGAGACCATCCTTCAGGCCTACACAGTACCCTGTGGCTGCATCTATCAGAGTGCTTTGTCTGCTCTCTGTCCATCTCCCCCATCAGCCCGTGAACTTATTGAGGACAGGCACACACCATGCGCCATTCAT